CAACCAGCCTCAGAGAGCTCCTTTGTCCCACCCCCCATACACGCGGAGACCGGCTCAATCGGTACCTCCAGTGATGCTATCTCTTTCATCGTTACCCAATGCTTAGGTGTACCTCCACTGTACTCATATCCTTCCATATCCTTGTCTGTACATAATGCCCTGAATCTATTCTACAATGCCCGGAAATCTGCCCCTTTTATTCTCTGTACCCAACGCACTAGAAGACAAGTTCTTAAAGCCTTTAGCCGTATCCTTATTCTATTCCTCCTCTGTTCTTCTGGTGATGTAGAGGTTAACCCAGGCCCTGTAGCCCCCAGTATCACTCCTACCCCCCAGGTGCTATCATTTGTTGACTTCTGTAACCGTAAAAGCCTTGGTTTCTTGCATGTTAACATCAGAAGCCTCCTCCCCAAGTTTGAGTTATTCACTGCGTTAGCACACTCTGCCAACCCTGATGTTCTAGCAGTGTCTGAATCCTGGCTTAGGAAGGCCACCAAAAATGCAGAAATGTCCATCCCGAACTACATTTTCCGTCTAGATAGAACTGCCAAAGGGGGCGGAGTTGCAATCTACTGTAGAGAGAGCCTGCAGAGCTCTATCATACTATCCAGGTCTGTGCCCAAACAGTTTGAGCTTCTACTTCTAAAAATCCACCTTTCCAGAAATAAGTCTCTCACTGATGCCGCTTGCTACAGACCGCCCTCAGCCCCCAGTTGTGCCCTGGACACCATATGTGAATTGCTTGCCCCCCATCTATCCTCAGAGTTCGTACTACTTGGTGACCTAAACTGGGATATGCTTAACACCCCGGCCATCCTACAATCTAAACTAGATGCACTCAATCTCACACAAATTATCAAGGAACCTACCAGGTACAACCCTAAATCCGTAAACATGGGCAGCCTCATAGATATCATCCTGACTAATTTACCCTCTAAATACACCTGCGTCCGTAATGGGTCCGCGGTCAAACGACCACCCCTCATCACTGTCAAACGCTCCCTAAAACACTTCAGCGAGCAGGCCTTTCTAATTGACCTGGCCCGGGTATCCTGGATGGATATTGACCTCATTCCGTCAGTAGAGAATGCCTGGATGTTCTTCAAAAGTGCTTTCCTCTCCATCTTAAATAAGCATGCCCCAGTCAAAAAATTCAGAACTAAGAACAGATATAGCCCCTGGTTCACCCCAGACTTGACTGCCCTTGACCAGCACAAAAACATCCTGTGGCGTACTGCATTAGCATCGAAAAGCCCCCGCGATATGCAACTTTTCAGGGAAGTCAGGAACCAATATACACAATCAGTTAGGAAAGCAAAGGCTAGATTTTTCAAACAGAAATTTGCATCCTGTAGCACTAACTCCAAAAAGTTTTGGGACACTGTAAAGTCCATGGAGAATAAGAGCACCTCCTCCCAGCTACCCACTGCACTGAGGCTAGGAAACACTGTCACCACCGATAAATCTACGATAATCGAGAATTTCAATAAGCATTTTGCTACGGCTGGCCATGCTTTCCACCTGGCTACCCCTACCCCGGCCACCAGCTCTGCACCCTCCGCTGCAACTTGCCCATATCCCCCCCGCTTCTCCTTCACCCAAATTCAGATAGCCGATGTCCTGAAAGAGCTACACAATCTGGACCTCTACAAGTCAGCTTGGCTAGACAATCTGGACCCTTTCTTTCTAAAATTAGCCACCGAAATTGTCGCAATCCCTATTACTAGTCTGTTGTCACGATCGTCAGGGAGAGACCAATGCGCAGCGTTGAAGGTGAACATATTTAATATATAAATGATCACACGACCAAAACAACAGACGATAACGTGATGTCTACGGTTTAACACAAACCAAATAAGAACAAGAAACCACAAACACAAAGTGAAAGACAGACAGTTAAATATGGCTCCCAATCAGAGACAACCAGCTGACACTCGTTGCCTCTGATTGGGAGTCACTCAGGCCAACATAGAAATACAAACATAGAATTACACACCCTGGCTTAACATAACAGTGTCCCCAGAGCCAGGGCGTGACATCTGTTCAACCTCTCTTTTGTATCGTCTGAGATACCCAGAGATTGGAAAGCTGCCGCGGTCATTCCCCTCTTCAAAGGGGGTGACACACTAGATCCAAACTGTTACAGACCTATATCCATGCTGCCCTGCCTTTCGAAAGTATTTGAAAGCCAAGTTAACAAACAGATCACCGACCATTTCGAATCCCACCGTACCTTCTCCACTATGCAATCTGGTTTCCGAGCTGGTCATGGGTGCACATCAGCCACGCTCAAGGTCCTAAACGATATAATAACTGCGATCGATAAAAGACAGTACTGTGCAGCCATCTTCATCGACCTGGCCAAGGCTTTTGACTCTGTCAATCACTGCATTCGTATTGGCAGACTAAATAGCCTTGGTTTCTCAAATGACTGCCTCGCCTGGTTCACCAACTACTTCTCAGATAGAGTTCAATGTGTCAAATTGGAGGGCCTGTTGTCTGGACTTCTGGCAGTCTCTATGGGGGTGCCACAGGGTTCAATTCTCGGGCAGACTCTATTCTCTGTGTATATCAATGATGTCGCTCTTGCTGCTGGTGACTCTCAGATCCACCTCTACGCAGACGACACCATTTTGTATACATCTGGCCCTTCATTGGACACTGTGTTAACAAACCTCCAAACGAGCTTCAATGCCATACAACACTCCTTCCGTGGCCTCCAACTGCTCTTAAACGCTAGTAAAACTAAATGCATGCTCTTCAATCGAATGCTGCTTGCACCCGCCCGCCCGACTAGAATCACGACTCTCGGCGGGTCTGACTTAGAATATGTGGACAACTACAAATACCTAGGTGTCTGGTTAGACCGTAAACTCTCCTTCCAGACTCCCATTAAGCATCTCCAATCCAAAGTTAAATCTAGAATTGGCTTCCTATTTCACAACAAAGCCTCCTTCACTCATGCTGCTAAACATGCCCTCGTAAAACTGACTATCCTACCGATCCTTGACTTCGGCGATGTCATTTACAAAAAAGCTTCCACCACTCTACTCAGCAATTTGGATGTAGTCTATCTCAGTGCCATCCGTTTTGTCACCAAAGCCCCATATACTACCCACCATTGTGACCTGTACGCTCTCGTTGGCTGGCCCTCACTACATATTCGTCGCCAAACCCAATGGCTCCAGGTCATCTATAAATCACTTATAGGCAAATCCCTGCCTTATCTTAGCTCATTGGTCACCATAGCAACACCCACCCGTAGTATGCATTCCAGCAGGTGTATCTCACTGGTCATCCCCAAAGCCAACACCTCCTTTGGCCGCCATTCCTTCCAGTTCTCTGCTGCAAATGACTGGAACGAACTGCAAAAATCTCTGAAGCTGGAGACACTTATCTCCCTCACTATCTTTAAGCATCAGTTGTCAGAGCAGCTTATCGATCACTGCACCTGTACACAGCCCATCTGTAATTAGCCCACCCAACTACCTCATCCCCATATTGTTATTTACATAGTTATTTATTTTTTCTCATTTGCACCCCAGTATCTCTATTTGCACATCATCTTCTGCACATCTATCACTCCAGTGTTAATACTAAATTGTAATTATTTTGCACTATGGCCTATTTATTGCCTTTCCTCCTTTAATTTACTACATTTGCACACACTCTATATAGATTTTCTATTGTGTTATTGACTGTACGTTTTGTTTATTCCATATGTAACTTTGTTGTGTTGTTGTTTTTATTGCACTGCTTTGCTTTATCTTGGCCAGGTCGCAGTTGTAAATGAGAACTTGTTCTCAACTGGCTTACCTGGTTAAATAAAGGTTAAATAAAAAATAAAAAAAATAGCCCTATTTGGTAAAAGACCAAGTCCATATTATGGCAAGAACAACTCAAATAAGCAAAGAGAAACGACAGTCCATCATTACTTTAAGACATGAAGGTCAGTCAATCTGGAACATTTCAAAATGTTTTGAGTTACCAGCCTCAGAAATTGCAGCCAAAATAAATGCTTCACAGAGTTCAAGTAACAGACACATCTCAACATCAACTGTTCAGAAGGGACTGTGTGAATCAGGCCTTCATGGTCGAATTGCTGCAAAAAAACACTACTAAAGGACACCAATAAGAAGAAGACACCTGCTTGGGCCAAGAAACACAAGCAATGGACATTAGACCGGTGGAAATTTGTCCTTTGGTCTGGAGTCCAAATTTGAGATTTTTGTTTCCAACCGCCGTGGCTTTGTGAGACGCGGTGTGGGTGAACGGATGATCTCCGCATGTGTGGTTCCCACCGTAATGCATGGAGGAGGAGGTGTTATGGTGTGGGGGTGCTTTGCTGGTGACACTGTCTGTGATTTATTCAGAGTTCAAGGCCCACTTAACCAGCATGGCTACCACAACATTTTGCAGCGATACGCCATCCCATCTAGTTTGGGCTTAGTGGGACTATCATTTGTTTTTCAACAGGACAATGACCCAACACACCTCCAGGCTGTGTAAGAGCTATTTTTTCAAGAAGGAGAGTGATGGAGTGCTGCATCAGATGACCTGGCTTCCACAATCCCCCGACATCAACCCAATTGAGATGGTTTGGGATAAGTCGGACGGTAAAGTGAAGGAAAAGCAGCAAACAAGTCCTCAGCATATGTGGGAACTCCTTCAAGACTGTTGGAAATGTATTCCAGGTGAAGCTGGTTGAGAGAATGCCAAGAGTGTGCAAAGCTGTCATCAAGGCAAAGAGTGGCTATTTGAAGAATCTCAAATATAAAATATATTTTGATTTGTTTAACACTTTTTTGGTTACTACATGATTCCATATGTGTTATTTTTGATGTCTTCACTATTATTCTACAATGTAGAAAATAGTAAAAATAAAGAAAAACCCTGGAATGAGTAGGTTTGTCCAAACTTTTGACTGGTACTGTATGTGCATTCATGGATAGCCTAAGTGTGTGCGTTTTATCCATCTGTTTTTACATGTGTGTATGTAGGCGCTGAAAGGGAAGATCCTGGTGAAGGGGAAGAAGGAGAGAGTGGTGGAGATGGAGAGCTCCTCCAGTTCTTCAGACCTCAGCTCCTCGGAGGAGTGTGAGTGTAGCGAAGCAGAGAGCAAAAAGAAGGAGGAGAAGAAGGTGTGTGTGTGCGTCTTTTGTCTGTCTTTCTTGCTGAATCAGCTGATTTGCTAATTGTGTATACTATAGGCTTTCTTGATCTCATGTAGTACTAGTAACTTTGCCTTTCCTTTCTCTCTCGCTTCCTACTCCCTCTTCCCCTCTCTGTGTGTGTGTACCTCCATAGCCGGGTGTCTCTAAGCTGAGTCCAGAGCTGTCAGACCTGGTGGTGTACACACGCAGTGTTCCCTTTAAAGGCTTTGACCAGGCCGCAAAGAAACCCCCCACTGAGATGTCCTCCTTCTCAGAGAGCGAAGCCCTCAAACACGTCAAAGAATCAGGTATGGAGAGTGTGTGTGTTTGTGGGGGAGGTCTTTGTGTGTGTGTGTGTGTGTGTGTTCGTATGTGCCAATGTGTGTCCGTGTGTGTGTGTTTACATACAAAGCTAATTAACAGAGTAGCCTAATAGCTCCCAAAAGATAATAGTTCAATAAAAGCCCAAGAGTACAATTAGTCTACTCTACACACTTAGCCAATTACATCAACAGGCTACTCTGTTAGTTAGCATTGTATGTAAACACATACACACGGACCCACATACGCACAAACCCACGTGCACCAGCAGCATACCACCCTGCATCCCACTGTTGGCTTGCCTCTGAAGCCCAGAGGGTCAGTCCCTAGATAGGAGACCAGATGCTGCTGGAAGTGGTGTTTGAGGGCCACTAGGGGGCACTCTTCCCTCTGGGCTAAGGAGATCCCAATGCCCCAGGGCAGTGGTGGGGACATCGCCCTGCGAAGTTTGCCGTCTTTCGGATGAGACGTTAAACCGGTGTCCCGACTCTCTGTGGTCATTAACAATCACATGGCACTCATCGTAAGAGTAGGGGTGTTAACCCTGGTGTCCTGGATAAATTGCCAACCTGGCCCCATTTCCATCATGGCCACCTAATTATTCCCCTCATTCCTAATTGGCATATATCACTCCTCAACTCTCCACCTGATAGGTGATGTGTGGTCTGGCGCAAATTGGTTGCCGTGCATCACCCAAGTGGGTGCTAAACATTGGTGGTGGATGAGGTGAGCTTCCCCCTTACTATGTAAAGCGCTTTGGGTCTCTAGAAAAAGTGCTATCTAAGTCCAATCAATTATGATTATTATTATTAATATGTACACTAGGCTATTTTTCTGCATGCCCTGTTGATTCCCTATTGGGAAGACGAGACAGCTGGGCTGTGTTCATTAGGCACCACATGGAAGAAAACAGATTGAAACAGGAAGGGTCTACCTGGACTTTCCATTTTAAAATGTTTCAAAATGTTTCCTGTTGTATGCCCTAATGAACACAACCCTGTTCACCACATAGGCTTCTCTGTTTTTCCCTTTTGCCAATGTTTTAACTATCCTTGCCCTCCTTCTTTCTCCCCCTTCTGCAGGGAAGCATTTTGTCCGTCACAACAGCCATCAGTTGAGCAGGATCTATCCCTCAGGACAACGCCTGCAGTCCTCCAACTACGATCCCCAGGATATGTGGAACGGCGGTTGCCAGATTGGTCAGAACATTGTAACCACTCTCTGAAGTTGCCAGATTATGTTCACTAAAATACACTATGAAAGTAGAACGTCACAAACAGCAAAATGTAACATATCTACTTTCATAGCGTGTTTTCAAGAAATATGGTTAGTATGGCCCATCACAGAAATGTGAAACAGTGGTTACCAGGTACACTGTTCCTCACTGGGAGGCCAGTGTTGGTTGCCAGATTTGATAGTATTTCTGAATTCCAGGTGATTGGAAATTGTATGTTGCTACACTGGTCAGTGCCTTACACTCCTTTACAGAGCAATGATCCTGCATTCTATTACACTCTAATGGACAACAGAAATTCTCTATTACTTAGACAGATATATAAAGCACAATACACTGTAACTCTAAACCACAGTGATTATCCTGTAATGACCTACAGTATGTCCTGTAATGCGCTAAAACACTCTTGTGGCAGGCAGCTGACCTGGCTAATGTCTAGGCTTTAGCTCAACGCACTAAATCACCGTAGTTAACTGAAATATTTGTTTCTCCAGTGGCGCTGAACTTCCAGACGGCAGGGGAAGAGATGGACCTGAACCGGGGTCGCTTTTTACACAACGGCCTTTGTGGATACGTCCTCAAGCCCTCCTTCATGACCCGCCCAGACTGCAACTTCAACCCCGAGAACACAGGTGGAGGACCCGGACACGACCCCACCCTCCTCACCATACGGGTAAGTGGGCGCTCCCAGATGACCAGACAGCCCCCCAAATCAATCCAAGTTAACTTTGTCAATCCGCCAAGAGGCCATTGAGAAGGTAACAAGTTCAGACTGTCGCAAAAAAGAAATTAAATGTATAGAATTAAAATCAATGCCTCACTTTTCTCTAATGCTATTTTTCTCAATCCTGTTTTACCCAATTCCCATTTTTCCCAATCCTATTTTTCCCATTCCTGTTTTTCCCAATCCCATTATAACCAATCCCATGCAGGTGATCTCAGCCCAGCAGCTTCCCAAGCCAGAGTGGGATAAACCCAGCTCCATTGTGGACCCTCAGGTGTGGGTGGAGACCCATGGCGTTCCCATCGATAACAACAAGAAGATGACCCCCCGTGTGGACAACAACGGTAAATATACAGTGCATTCGGAAAGTATTCAGACCCATTGACTTTTTCTAAAATTAATTAAATAGTTTTTTTCCCTCATCAATCTAAACACAATACCCCATAATGACAAAGCAAAAACTGTTTTTTGGAAATTTTTGCAAATGTATTAAAAATAAAAATGAAAATGAAATATGAAATTTACATAAGTATTCAGACCCTTTACTTAGTACTTTGTTGAAGCACCTTTGGCAGTGATTACAGCCTCAAGTCTTCTTGGGTATGACGCACACCTGTATTTGGGGAGTTTCTCCCATTCTTCTCTGCAGATCCTCTCAAGCTCTGTCAGGTTGGATGGGGAGCGTCGCTGCACAGCTATTTTCAGGTTTCTCCAGAGATGTTCGATCAGGTTTTTAGTCCGGGCTCTGGCTGGGCCACTCAAGGACATTCAGAGACTTGTCTCGAAGCCAGTATGAAGAATACAATTCAACATGCTGTAGCTGAATAAAATAGAAAGGATATTTTCTCCAAACGATTTGAGGGAGTGCACACATGCGGCTATTAGGTGATGAGCGGTTAACAAAGAAACATGTACTCCTATATGCTTAATTCAGAGTTATTTATGTAACTTTAGTTGTGATACAAATGTTGGACTATATGTTTAGATTTTTTATACATTCAAAGCTGCATGATGCGACTGAAAGGCATGATCTCTGCTTTGTTTTTTGCGCAGGCTGTACACACTTCATCAGTCTCTCTCATTCTCAATTTGACAAGCACTTGATAATGCCTCGAGTTTCCCGGCTGCATCCCCTTTGTGTGGCCGTAATGCCCCCTAAAATAATTTGTGCCTTTTGCGGCCAGTGGCCGTTGTGCCCGTGGGCTGAATATAATAATTATAATTCCCTTCTCCCGGCTGCGTGCCGAAGCACCTCTCACTCACATGGCCCTCAGTGACGTGAGTGGGTCTTTCTCACAGGCTACAAGTGAAGACAGACACATCAGGGACACAACTGCGTGCGTCGTTATCCAATTCCGAGGCGCATATTGAAGATATTGGAAGAACTGTCATTTACTTTTCGTCAGCCACTAAGATGAATAGGCCTAACGAACAACAAAAGCACTAGCCTATGTCAATCTACTATCCCCCATAGTACAAAAGTGGACCTATTCTATTCTGTGCTAGAAATAAATATTCCAAACATAGTCTGGGACAGTTGTGGGATGTTTTAAGCAATGAGCCTGACGCAACAGATCAGAAAGTTTAGCTTAAAATGTTGATAAACTATTAGGCTATTTCTTCACATTATAAGCGCAGCAATGCGCACACGGCAGTAGGCTATAAGCGCGAATGTGCCATTAGCAGGAAAACACCATTCTCAAAAATGAACGCAAATGTGATTATGCATGTAATGCTTTTATTATAAACGTGCATTTGTATGTCCCCGAGTGGCGCAGTGGTCTAAGGCACTACATCGCAGTGCTAGCTGTGCCACTAGAGATCCTGGTTCGTAATCCAGGCTCTGACGTAGCCGGCCGCGACCGGGAGACCTATGGGGCGGCGCACAATTGGCCCAGGGTAGGGGAGGGAATGGCCGGCAGGGATGTAGCTCAGTTGGTAGAGCATGGCGTTTGCAATGCCAGGGTTGTGGGTTCGATTCCCACGGGGGGCCAGTATGAAAAATAAAAAAAATTATGTAAGTCACTCTGGATAAGAGCGTCTGCTATATGACTAAAATGTATGGTGAAAATTATCTTCCCCAAACTTAAAACTCACGCGCTGCATATGTATGCCAGTTTGGCTCTACACCCGTTGTAACACGGATTAATGTGCTTAATTTTAAGAAGTTATTTGGCCACTTTAGTTGTGATACAAACCTTATCAAAACATATAGGCCTATGGGCTAGGCTACTATGATTTGAAAAAGTCACACAAAAAAGGAATGGCGGTTTCTTGCCTTAAACTGGGCATCATTCACAAGTGATAATATATCATTCACAAGTGATAGGCTAATATTGTCACCCATCAGACTATTCTTGATTTAATCTTGTCTTTACATATACAAAATAATATATGTGTGACATTTGTTTTGATTTAGAATGGACCATTATCATGTACCTGATTCGAAACAGGGGCAGGGGAAAAAAAGACGTCATCTATGCACTTAAATAGCGAATGGAGGACACTTTTCCCGCGGTTCATTTTCATGCCAGCCTGGTAGGCTATACTCCTGTTGTAAAGAGAAGCAATGTGCTTAATATTAGTAAAGTTGAGAAATAAATATAGTAGGCCTAGCCTATTGAAAGCTGATGAGATCCTCTTTTTAATAGAGGCCATCACTCTTGTTTTCTCACGCAATTGCATAGCCTATAGAAGTGTTGCGCAACATGAGCGCATGGGCTCTCATGAAGTGTTTGATTTAGATTTTTGATTACATTTGCATTGATGTCAGAGTGATTAGAGGGACAACAAAAGTGCTGAGTACCAGGCAGTTAGCAAGTTTGGTAGTGACCTAATGACCATCAGCAGCATCAGAGCTTGGAGAAGCCTAATTACTGTGACTAAACGGTCACGTGGAATTTGACTGCCGCCATGACTCGTGACCGCCGGTGTGGCGGTAATACGGTCACCGTAACAGCCCTAGATCCTACTCCATTTCTCTTTACAACTTGCACCTGTAGAACAGCAAAGTTTTCATTTAGCTAATTTTATTAATCCATTTCTTTGTTTTTCCTAACAAAAAACAAAACATAAAAATCTAATTTATTTGATCATTTCTGGGAGTAAGGATTTCCAATGACGGGCCTTTTGCTGTAAGAGAACATGGTCAAGTTTGACATATAAATACATCCCAAGATTTATGCCCATTGGTTGAGAGAGAAGGTGATAATTACAAGAGTGTGCCCATAGGTTAAACAGCAAGCGTGAAGAATGTGCAATTACTGTTCCGTGCTCATAGGCTATAAGGTAAATAGGTGAATGACATTCCGCATGTGGCTAATAGAAAAGAGGAGGAGAGACTATGCTGATGATAATAACTATTATCACTAACTATTTTCATGACATTGACTGACCAGGTGAAAGCTATGATTCCATATTGATGTCTGTCACGACCCGGTGCGAGAAACAGTCACTAATAATTGTCAGAACCCAGAAGATGAGGCAGACACAGCAGTACTAGAGATGGTGGTTTAATAAAGAACAAAATCTTCAGGCAAAGAAACTAAATCCACAATGTCCAAAAAATAAAGCCAAGAGGCACAAAGAGGAAAACCTCCAAAAAACAAAAGAAACTCCACAAAGTGGTAAAAAACAGCAGGGAAAAACAAACCTCAAAAGACTACTCAAACAAAACACAAGAACTAAACCAGAGAACCTCTGGAAAATCCCACCAGAGAAAAATCTATATAAACAAGGCTTGGGCTGGGGCTGGGTGCTAACTTACAAACACTGAGCAAGGAACTGAGGAACACACAGGGTTTAAATACTAACAAGGGAATGACCTACAGGTGCAAACAATAATTAGAGCAAGAAAAACAAAAGGTACAAAAAAAGTGCAATGGGGACATCTAGTGACCAAAACCCGAACAGTCATGGCCAAAACCTGACAGAATCCCCCTCCTAGGAACGGCTCCTGACGTTCCTACCAGCCTTCTCAGGGTGGAGGGCCCTGAACTGACGAATGAGGTCAGGGTCCAGTATGTCCTTGGCAGGAACCCAGGAGCGCTCCTCGGGACCGTAGCCTTCCCAGTCCACCAGATACTGCCAGGACCGCTGCACCCGGCGGGAATCCAGTATCCGGTGGACGGTATAAGCCGACTGGCCACCGATGACACGGGGCGGAGGGGGAGGTCTGCCTGCCGGGATAAGGGGAGAAAAAACAACAGGTTTTAATAAAGAAATGTGAAATGTTGGATTGATCTTAAGGGATCTGGGTAAGTGCAGGCGAAAAGTAACGGGATTGACTCTCCTGGCAATCTTAAAGGGACCGATGAACCTCTGGGACAGCTTGCGAGACTCCACCCGTAGTGGTAGGTTCTTAGTTGAGAGCCATACTCTCTGGCCGGGGTACAGGGTAGGACCGGGACGGCGACCTCTGTTGGCTTGTCGTTGGTACTGCTGAGAGGAACGCAGAAGATTAAGACGTGCCTTCTTCCACGTAAGCCGACAGCGTCTGATGAACCTCGAGGCTGAAGGCACTCTGACTTCTGCCTCCTGGTCCGGGAACAATAGAGGCGCATAGCCAAACTGACACTCATGCGGGGACATACCAGTGGAGGAGGAGCACAAGGTGTTGTGCGCGTACTCGGCCCAAACAATGAAGGATGACCAAGTGGACGGGTTGTTGGAAACCATGCATCTGAGGGTGGTTTCCAGCTCCTGATTCATCCTCTCAGTTTGGCCATTGGACTCCGGATGGTACCCTGAAGATAAACTGGCCGTGGCCCCTATGAGTTGGCAGAAGGCCTTCCAAAACCTTGAGGCGAACTGGGGACCTCTGTCGGAAACCATATCTTGCGGAATCCCAAAGACTCGGAACACATGGTTAATCACCAACTCAGCTGTTTCCTTGGCAGAAGGTAATTTGGTCAAAGGAACAAACCTGGCCGCCTTAGAAAACCTGTCGATGATGACTAGGATCGTAGTATTACCATGGGACGGAGGAAGGCCAGTAATAAAGTCCAACGAGATATGGGACCAGGGTCGGTGGGGAATAGATAGAGGGTGAAGGAGTCCTTGAGGGCGGAGGTGAGAAGATTTGCCCTGGCAGCACACGGAACAGGCCTTGATGAAAGTGGCAACGTCTTCTTTTATGGTGGGCCACCAGAACTTACGCTGGATGAACTCCAAGGTGCGGCCTACGCCCGGGTGACAGGTGAGGCGAGAGGAGTGCCCCCACCGAAGGACTTGGGACCTTGCTGCCTTGGGAACAAACAACCGATTAGCAGGACCTCCTCCAGGGCCCGGTTCGATGGCTTGAGCTTGTTTCACGGTATCCTCCACTTGCCACGAGATCGGAGCCACGATCTTAGCGGCCGGAAGGACAGTCATGTCAGTATCTTCTCGAATGGCAGGAGAGTAGATTCGTGACAAGGCGTCCGGTTTGAGATTCTTCGACCCGGGTCTATAGGTGAGGATAAACTGAAATCGGCTGAAGAAAAGAGACCATCGAGCTTGTCTGGCGTTCAACCGCTTCGCCTGCTGGATATACTCCAGATTCTTGTGGTCCGTAAGCACTTGAAACGGTTGAGAAGCCCCCTCGAGCCAGTGTCTCCATTCCTTCAATGCCATCTTAACCGCTAGGAGTTCACGATCCCCCACATCGTAATTCCTCTCGGCCGGGGTAAGCCGGTGAGAGAAGAAGGCGCAAGGATGAAGCTTCTTGTCTTCACCCCTCTGAGACAGGACGGCTCCAACCCCAACCTCTGATGCGTCTACCTCCACCACAAAAGGTTCATCCGCCGTTGGTAGTGTCAGGATGGGAGCAGAGAGGATGCGCTGCTTGAGTCCTTGGAAGGCCGTCTCAGCTTCTCTTCCCCACAGAAACCTTGTGTTGCCACCCTTGGTTACCGCCGAGAGAGGGGCTGCCACCGAGCTGAAGTTCTTGATGAACTTGCGGTAAAAGTTGGTGAAGCCCAGGAAACGCTGAACTTCCTTAACGGACTTGGGGGTGGGCCAATCCGCTACCGCCTCTACCTTCTTGGGGTCCATCTGGACTCGTCCGGGTTCCACTATAAATCCCAGGAATTGTACTCGAGAGGAATGGAATTCACACTTCTCCGGCTTAACGTACAAATGGCTGTCTAGGAGGCGTTTGAGCACTTGTCTGACATGCTTAGTGTGTTCTTGAAGGGAGCTCGAAAAGATGAGGATGTCATCCAAGTAAACAAACACAAAGATGTTAAGCATATCCCTAAGCACATCGTTTATGAGCGCTTGGAACACAGCCGGAGCGTTGGTCAGGCCGAAGGGCATCACCGAGTATTCGTAGTGACCAGTAGGCGTGTTGAAAGCGGTCTTCCACTCGTCCCCGGGTTTGATCCGCACAAGATGGTATGCGTTCCGCAGGTCAAGCTTAGTGAAGACAACTGCTTCCTGGAGCAGCTCAAAGGCTGTGGCCATAAGGGGTAGCGGGTAGCGGTTACGGACGGTTATGGCATTGAGTCCCCGGTAGTCGATGCAAGGTCGTAATCCACCGTCTTTCTTGGCCACAAAGAAAAACCCTGCTCCCGCCGGCGAGGTAGATGGACGCATGAGGCCTGCTGTCAGAGCGTCCTTGATGTAGGTATCCATAGCAGCTCGTTCGGGAGGAGAAAGGGAAAAGATCCGACCCCTGGGAGGGCAGGTCCCCGGCAACAGGTCGATGGTGCAATCGTAAGGTCTATGGGGTGGTAGTTTGGTGGCCCTCTGTTTGCTAAATACCAGTTTGAGGTCATGGTAACACTCGGGAACTCGGGACAAGTCGATGGATTCTAGAGACTCGGAAGGAGAACTCTGGGAACTCGGGAAGATACAAGTGGCTTGGCACGTAGGACCCCACTGCTTGATAGTGCCCACAGACCAGTCGATGTGAGGGTTATGGCTGTGAAGCCAGGGATAACCAAGGACGAGAGGAAACTCGGAACAGGAGATCAGATGAAAGTTCATCACTTCCTGGTGTTGGGAAACTGAAAGTCGTAAGGGGGTAGTGGCACGAGTGACAAGTCCAGATCCCAAAGGACTTCTATCCAACGTAGTAACCCTTATGGGGTCACTTAGAGGTTCAGAAGGAACGCCATTCTCCTTCGCCCAGATCCCATCCATGAAGTTACCTGCGGCTCCAGAGTCTACCAAGGCTTGAAGAGAAAACTCGTGGTCGTCCCAGGAAAGGGTAACAGGAATGAGCAGGCGGGAGTTGGATGGATGGGAGGAGGTTATGTTTCCCGTTACAGTCCTCCCAGGCCTGCACGGGAGAGTGCGTTTCCCTGGAGCCCGGGACACGTGGAGCGGAAATGGCCCGGTTTGCCGCAATATAGACAGCATCGCTCCCTCATCCGGCGGTCTCTCTCAGCCTGGGAGATGCGTCCAACCTGCATGGGTTCTGGTGGAGCCAGCGAGGATAAAGGTGGAGACTCGGAGCTGGAACCGATAGGAGCTAGGGTGAGCGATCTATGGTTTTGTTCTCTCTCTCTCAGACGCTGGTCTATGCGTGAAGCCAACTTGATAAGGGACTCGAGGTTGTCCGGTGGTTCCCGAGTGGCCAGTTCATCTTGGATGGTGTCAGAAAGACCCTTCAAAAAACACACTGTGAGCGCCTCGTCGTTCCAGCCACTTGCTGCTGCCACAGTGCGGAACTGGATGGCATAGTCCGTCACGCTGCGCCGACCTTGGCGGAGAGTCAGGAGCTGTTTGGCTGAGTCAGGGCCGTTGGTAGGACCTTGAAACACTCGCTTGAATTCTTCAGCAAAGGTAGAGTAGCTGGCACAGCAGGGACTTTGGGCATCCCACACAGCAGTAGCCCAGGCTAGGGCCTTTTCCGACAGCAGGGTGATGATATATGCTATCTTGGACCGGTCGGTGGGAAACGACGATGGTTGCAGCTCAAAGGAGAGAGAACATTGGGTGAAAAACCCCTTACAAACACTCGGGTCCCCTGAGAACCGTTGGGGAGGCGGCAGACGAGGTTCAGCCAGGGGATTAACTGCCAGGGGCCCTTGAATCGGATGAACTGGAGCAGAAGCGGTTGCCGGGGAAAGTCGATCCGAAATCTGCTTTATGGAAGTCAGCATCTCTGACAGAAGTTGAGAATGTCTAGCCATTAAGGCCTCTTGCTGAACCAGAGCAGCTTCGTGGCGTTGGACAGTCCCCTCATGGTGGGACAGCATGGAAAAAAGATCCTGGGTACTGGCTGCCTCTGGGTTCATAATAATGGCTCAGTGTTTCTGTCACGACCCGGTGCGAGAAACAGTCACTAATAATTGTCAGAACCCAGAAGATGAGGCAGACACAGCAGTACTAGAGATGGTGGTTTAATAAAGAACAAAATCTTCAGGCAAAGAAACTAAATCCACAATGTCCAAAAAATAAAGCCAAGAGGCACAAAGAGGAAAACCTCCAAAAAACAAAAGAAACTCCACAAAGTGGTAAAAAACAGCAGGGAAAAACAAACCTCAAAAGACTACTCAAACAAAACACAAGAACTAAACCAGAGAACCTCTGGAAAATCCCACCAGAGAAAAATCTATATAAACAAGGCTTGGGCTGGGGCTGGGGCTGGGTGCTAACTTACAAACACTGAGCAAGGAACTGAGGAACACACAGGGTTTAAATACTAACAAGGGAATGACCTACAGGTGCAAACAATAATTAGAGCAAGAAAAACAAAAGGTACAAAAAAAGTGCAATGGGGACATCTAGTGACCAAAACCCGAACAGTCATGGCCAAAACCTGACAGATGTCACTTGTTAAATCCACTTCATTCAGTGTAGATGAAGGGGAGGATACATGTTAAAGAAGGATTTTTAAGCCTTGAGACAATTGAGACATGGATTATGTATGTGTTCCATTCAGAGGGTGAATGAGCAAGACCAAATATTTAAGTACCTTTGAACGGGGTATGGTAGTAGGTGCCAGGTGCACCGGTTTGAGTGTGTCAAGAACTGCATAGCTGCTGGGTTTTTAATGCTCAACAGTTTCCCGTGTGCATCAAGAATGGTCCACCACCCAAAGGATATCCACCCAACTTGACACAACAGTGGGACGCATTGGAGTCAACATGGGCCAGCATCCCTCTGGAACGCTTTCGAAAACTTGTAGAATCCATGCCCCAATTAATTGAGGCTGTTCTGAGGGGAACGGGGTGCAACTCAATATTAGGAAGGTGTCCCTAATATTTTATAAACTCAGTGTATACAGGTAACTGCCAAAATAATGGAAACACTTGAGTAAATGAGGGAAACAAAGTATATTGAAAGCAGGTGCTTCCACACAGGTGTGGTTCCTGAGTTAATTAAGCAATTAACATCCCATCATGCTTAGGGTAGTTTATAAAATGCTAGGCATTTGCCCTATTAAGACAATTTATTTATGTGTTTCCTTTATTTTGGCAGTTACCTGGACAGTCCCACTATGCACATAGAAGAGGAAGCAATGTGAATTGTATTGTGCTTACTGAAAGAAGTAAAGTGAGCTATCTATTCAGACCAGCCTTACTGATTGAACCTACGTTATCAACTACATTTCAATTTACTGAAGTAAACTGAAATTCCAATTGAAATGGAATTGAGCCCAAACCTGATGTATGAATAGAAGATACATGAAAACATTTCTGTGTTGAACCCTTCGCTCTCCCTCTCTCCTATGGTTTGTCAGGGTTTAACCCTCGGTGGGACTGCACCTTCAACTTCACTCTGCATGTCCCTGAGCTGGCTCTGGTGCGCTTCATGGTGGAGGACCACGACTTCACCTCCAGAAACGACTTCCTGGGACAGTTCACCCTGCCCTTCACCAGCCTCCGCACAGGTGTGTGTGTGTGTGTGTGTTTACATGTGTAGGTGTGTGTCAAAATAACATATCTTACTGTTTAGACTATAGCCAATAATCAGTTTTGTCTGACCTTTCACCTCTGCCCTCTCGCCCCCAGGTTACCGTCATGTCCACCTGCTGAAGGTCGATGGTTCCAGCCTGTCACCCACTTCTCTGTTCATCCATGTTAAGGTCACCCCCTGCCACAGTAGCCCCTCCAAGGCCTCAGCCAAATCTCCGTCCTCAACCAAGATCGTAGCCAAATCACCAGCCATATCTCCAACCAAGATCGTAGCCAAATCACCAGCCATATCTCCAACCACGTCCCAAGCCAAATCACCAGCGAAGAAGCATTAAGTCTCTTCCCAGTCTCCACCTAAGTAACCCAGGGTTAAGATGAAACTCATTCTGTCCTCTACTCTTTTTTTTTATGGTGTAGTAAACATGGTTGCAGTCCATTCCCTTTCAATTGAGTCTGCTTCACTCCCATTATTATTTTTTTAAAGAGAACTTGAAAACTTGTAACCACTGTTCTTGGTTCCTCCCAACTAGAGTGATCTAAGTAGAGGGCCCAAGTGGAGACTGTCTATATCATCAACAGTGTGGATGTCCTACTGTATACCATTTATTATCTAACAGCATATCTATAGTAATGAACTTTGATCTCCAGTATTCGGTGAGACTACTGGACCAGGATCTCTGGCTGTCTGTTTTGTGTGATAATTGGACCAAACACAAAAAGAGGGACCAACCAATAGCCAGCCAGGATATAGGGTTGATGGGACATCCCTCCACAGCCATTGCTGAGCAGGTAAACCGTCCAAACAGAACGTTGCATATTTAAAGCATGTTAAAAGGGTTTTAAGAAATTATATTATTCACCAGTATTTTTAAAGAATCACATGCTTACAGGGGGTAACGTATTTGTTCCTTACAGAGAAGATATCACTATACCGTCCCATTCTGTCACGATTTATGGCTATAATTCATCAAAGACCAAAGGACTTATCAGTTTTCCGAGCCTAGACATCTTTAGAGATGTAACCATATAGAAGTTAGATTTGATATTCATCATTTTCATATTATACTTTAGTTATCTATTTGTTGTAGATAGTAGATAGATATAGTTATCGTAGCAATACTAGAATATGCACCATAGTAGATCTGTTGCCTTTTTGTAGCATTTCAGATTGGTAGAACATTGTTTTAAAGAGTAACCAGGTCCATGATGTTTTCAAGTTTTTGTTTTATGATATCACTGTTCAAGTGATGTTCAAGTTCAAAAGGCTGTGTTTCAATAGTTGGAATTAGTTTCTTATCCTGTGTCCTTATGTCCATGATGACCATTCAGGCTGGACATGACAAATGAAGGGTACCTTTCCTGAAAGCCTTGTAGCTAATGTGAAACGTTATTATTTTTCTGACGACCCAGACCATGGCACTTGAAGAACAGCAAAGTGCATAATTTGACAAATGTAATTTGTTCAAGCACATAAGAGTGTTTTTATAATTGTTACTCTCTGGCAGCTGTGCGTCTGGGTTGTCGAGAGAAATAACATGCCTCGTTAGCTAAGGAAAGTCGGAAACTCACACGAGTGCCATTGATTTGAGTCCCTCCACCTATCAGTGATTAAGGAAAGGAGATGAAGGAAAAGGGTCAAGGAAAGGAGAAAGGTAAGTCATTTTAGAGTATTGAGACAGCCAGGTGTACTGTAGAAAGATGTTATTGAGACTGAAGATGACAATCGTTGGCTTTCCCTTGTCAAGTCCTCTTCAACTTGGGACAATAAGTATGGTTAGTTTGAGACTCAAGCCTTTTTAAATGTTTTAAAGTGATTGCAATGATTTGAAATACATTATCTATTGTCCATAATTTATATCATGTCATCTTTGAAAGAAGAGTTTTAACATCAATATTCTTGTTTATTACCCAGATTAGTTTTGTTGTAGAATTATTTGATAGACAATTTTTATACATATTTACTGTAATGTAAAGCAATACCATCCATTTTGGAATGCTTTTTAAGGAATATGTTTTTGTAATGGTTTATTGCTCCATCCATTTATACAATATTGCACTTCTGGGCTCGTATTCATAAAGTATCTCGGAGTAGGAATGCTGATCTATGATCAGTTTTGCCTTTTAGATCATAATGAATAAGATTTTATGGACAGGGGGACCTGGTCCTAGATCAGCACGCTTTATGAATACGGGCCCTGGTCTACTCCTCAATGGTATTGTATGGATTCAAAAAGAGATGTGATGTTTGTGTAAAAGACAAAAGTGAAGTTGTGAAAATGTCCTGCTGTAGCAAAGATAAGGAGAAAAATGTATACTGTAATTGTAGTGCAAAATACAAACACCATGTCACGCTATTATATATGGTATTTATTGCACATATTTTGGCTATAGCTTATTTTTTTTGTACAGTGATTTTCCAAGGCAATGAAAAGTCTTGTTTTAACTCAAGGACACTTTCAGGTTTCCAATACCAAACATATTGTATCAACAACATCAACCTAAGTGTTCACACAAAATGTGATTTTGTTGGTAATTGTTACTGAAGGAGATGGAGTATATATTCGATGATGGTGATGATGATGATGATAATGAGGGGGAGGAGGGTAACAGGGTTCAATTCGCAAAACTGACTGGGAAATTACAGTACATTTTACATTTTAGTCATTTAGCAGACGCTCTTATCCAGAGCGACTTACAGTTAGTGAGTGCATACATTTTTCATACAGTACAAATGTGTTACGTATGTTGGTAGGTTTATCCTTTAGTTCTATTGTATTTTGCTCTATTCAGTTCTATTATATTACATGTTATTGTCCAAAATACACTTCTAAATGCCTTTTCTCTGTCATTCTTCTGTATTGAATGGCATATCTCTTTAAAAACTGTGTCATCAATCTTCCATTATCAGCATTTCTGCATGTAATACAGGTCCGCTACTACAGGACTATTAAAGGCCCAGTGCACTACTAAAAATGTTTCAGGGGTACTGCAGCACCCTCAGTACCCCTACTTCCTGCGGCTATGCGGATGTTTCTTGTAGGATGTTCTTTTTAATGACCTCTTTCATAGTGTGTTCTACTCTTGTACACACTATCAGAACTGTCATTTCTTAACTTTAATGCTTGCAATTATTGAATTCTGCTTATTGAAGATTTCATATCATAGGCAATTTATTTACGTCATGTGACTCGACTGGTACCCTGACCAGGATGTTGGATGGTGTAGGCCGGGTGACCCAGGTGCTCTTGTGTCAGTTTTGCATTTCCCCCACTAATGGTTAAGGTTAGGATTGGGGGAGGGGAACCTGACCCGAGATCTGTACCTAGGGGAAACTTCACCCCGGGGCATGTTGGATTCACAACACTGTCAGGATCTGGTACTATGCTAAAAAATATATACTGATAAAAACGTTTGCGTTAAAATAATTAGCGTTAAAGCAATGTTTACAGTATTTATTTCTGGCTGTAATAACTGAATCAATTAAAAACGAAAATAAAGAACAGAAAAGTGGTGTAATGTATCCTACAAATTGTGGACATACTTGGTAATGGTATTTTATTAGGATCCCCATTAGCTGTTGCGATAGCAGCAGCTACTCTTCTTCAGGGTCAAATAGGGGAGTGGCGTTGTGCAGTGAGGTGTTGCTTTATCTGTTTTTTTAAACCAGGTTTGCTGTTCACTTGAGCAATCTTTGATGGAAGGGAGTTCCATGCAATAATAGCTCTATATAATACTGTACGTTTTCTTGAATTTGTTCTGGATTTGGGGACTCTGAAAAGACCCCTGGTGGCATGTCTGGTGGGGTAAGTGTGTGTGGCAGTGCTATGTGTAAGTTGACTACGCAAACAATTTGGGATTTTCAACACATTAATGTTTCTTATAAAAACAAAGTTCATACTGTACATTTTTATGGATGAATTTGAAAGATTTGTATAGGGATAATAGCATATTAGATACAGAATCTTATTCCTCATACACCGATATGCCTTACAACAGCGTCATTTTGTGGTGATACTGTAAAAGGCATTGTAGGTTACTGCAAATGGAGATGTTCTTGAAAAGCAGATGCTGCTATACTAGTGTACTCAGTGCCGCATCTGCTTATACGCAGACTACGCGCTGTGCGTAGGGCCTCGCGGCCGCTAGGTGGCCCCAGAGCCCCAAAAAGGAACTCAGTTCCTCAACTTAACTTACTGTTGAGAGCAGTGGAGGCTGCTGAGGGGAGGACGGCTCATATTAATGGATGGAACAGAGTAAATGGAATGGCATCAACACATGGAAACTGCTGATAAGCTGACTGTGGCTGCATCATTCATGTGATCCATATTTTTCTATATTGTTCATATGTATGCCTAGGTATGAACTTCAAACATGACAAGTGAAATTCCCTCAGGGAAAATAAAAGTTATAGCTAAATCTATACTTGTTCGTGTAGAAATGTGAGGGAAGACAAAAGAGGAGTCAATTAAGGTCACTCTGTTTCGAACTAAGCTTCAGAATGTTACTTTGTAATTACACTGAACAAAAATATAAACGCAACATGTAAAGTGTTGGTCCCATATTTCATGAGCTGAAATAAAAGATCCCAGTTTTCTATATGCCCAAAAAACTTATTTCTCTCAAATGTTGAGCACAGAACACAATGCCGCAGATGTCTCAAGTTTTGAGGAAGCATGCAATTGGCATGCTGACTGCAGGAATGTCCACCAGAGTTGTTGCCAGATAATTGAATGTTAATTTCTCTACCATAAGCCGCCTCCACAGAATTTGGCATTACGGCCTCACAACCGCACACCACATGTAACCACGCCAGCTCAAGACCTCCATGTCCAGCTTCTTCATCTGCGGGATCGTCTGAGACCAGCCACCCGGACAGCTGATGAAACTGTGGGTTTGCACAACCGAATAATTTATGCACAAACTGTCAGAAACCATGACAGGGAAGCTCATTTGCGTGCTCGTCATCCTCACCAGGGTCTTGACCTGACTGCAGTTCGGCGTCTATCCGATTTCAGTGGGCAAATGCTCACCTTCGATGGTCACTAGCACGCTGGAGAAGTGTGCTCTTCACGGATGAATCCCGGTTTCAACTGAAGGCAGAAGGCAGACAGTGTGTATGGCGTCGTGTGGGCAAGCGGTTTGCAGATGTCAACGTTGGGAACAGAGTGCCCCATGGTGGCGGTGGGGTTATGGTATGGGCAGGCATAAGCTACAGACAATGAACACAATTGCATTTTATTGATGGCAATTTGAATGCACAGCGATACCGTGACGAGATCCTGAGGCCCATTGACGTGCCATTCATCCGCCGGCATCACCTCATGTTTCAGCATGATAATGCACAGCCCCAAGTCGCAAGGATCTGTACACAATTCCTGGAAGCTGAAAATGTCCCAGTTCTTCCATGGCCTGCATACTCACCAGACATGTCACCCATTGAGTATGTTTGGGATGCTCTGGATCAGATTCAGATCAACTTTATTATCCCACCAGGGGGAAATTCATTTGGTAATGTGTTTAAAAAGACTACATAAAACATGAAAACACAGAAACGACACAATATAATTAATTGAAAGTGCTATAGCCTACACATTTACAGTGAAAGTGCAATATGCTGTATACTCGAGGGCCCAACAGACTATCCATTGTACAGCCTACTGGCTGTTGGAATAAAATAGTACCCATATCTATTTGTTTTGATCTTCTTTTGAAGAAGTCTCTTTCCCCTTGTCCGGCTGCTGCTGTGACTGAGTTTTAAGTGAAGGGGATGGGTACTGTCTTGTAAAATGCTTTCAAGTTTTTGGAGGATGAGTTTTGTGTACAGGTTGGTGTCTGATTCTTGATCTATACCAATTATCCTTCCTGCCGTCTTGATTTGGTCTTGCTCTTGCATGTTTCCAAACACGCATATCAGACCAAAGGACAGCACACAGATTCATAGAACATTTCTAGGATATGGCAGTCGACATTAAAATGGTTCAGTTTGTGTAAAAAAAACATTCTCTGTTGCAATTTCTTTGTCTTTGCAGGGGCACAGTCATTGAATTTCAATTTGTCTGTTTTGATTCCCAGGTATTTATATGTGGTCACTCTATCAACTGATTCCCCATTGATCTTCATAGGGGGTAGTGCAGTTTTGTTCCTTCTAAAATCTATTTTCATCTCTTGTTTTCTTACCGTTTATTTCAAGAAAGTTATCTGCGCACCACTGGATGAATTTTGCAGTTCCTCTGTCAAAACCTTGAAGGGAGGCTTGGTCTGGGTGGGGGAAACCCACAACAGCGGTGTCATCTGTGTATTTAAAGAATTTGTGGGCTGAGTCAGAGGCTTGACAATCCTTTGTGTACATTATGTACAGTATCGGTGAAAGTATGCAACCTTGTGGGGCTCCCGTATTCACCTTTCTAGATGTAGAGATGGCGGAGTTAAACTTTACTTGTTGAGTACGGTTCACAAGGAAACTATTAATCCACTTGATCAGTAGAGATTTGACACCCAAATTCACCAGCTTTTCCACCAGTAAGTAGGGTTGGATGGTGTTAAACGCGTTACTCAAGTCAATAAATACAGTTTTCACTAGGCTATTTGCCTGTTTTAAGTGTTTGTAGATAATGATAATAATAATATGCAATTTAGCAGAAGCTTTTATCAAAAGCGACTTACAGTCATGCGTGCATAAATTTTTGTGTATGGGTTGTACCGGGGATCGAACCCACTACCTTGGCTTTACAAGCGCCGTGCTCTACCAGCTGAGCTACAGAGGACCACAGATATTATTCAACATGAGCAGTAACCCATCATCAACACCCCCTGGAGGCACCGTAGGCGAATTGAGTTGGGATGAGAGACCAGAGAAATTTTTATTTTTATTTTTATTTTTTCAAAACATTTTATAGGTACAGATGTCAAGGCTACAGGGCGTAAATTGTTATTTTCTTTTGGCCTGTTGTTTTTAGGTACTGGGACATTCAGCGACTTATTCCATAAATCTGGAATTATCCCACTGTCCAGTGACAGTTGGAACAGGTTTTGGAGTTCCTTGCTGCTGACGCCGTCTGGACCATATGATTTTCGTGGGTTGAGATGTTGAAAGTATTGCTTGATGTCATTCACAGAGATCTGTATATGAACAGCTGGTATGCTGTCCAGGGCCACTTTCTGCTGCGATGTAAAATCACAAATGTCAAACCTAAAATAGAAACTGTTTAAATAATTTGCAAAAACAAGGTCATTTTCGACGGTCATACAATGTCTCTTTGGTTTGTAGCCTGTGATGGGTTGTAGCCCTTGCCAGGCTTTCCTACTGTCATTGTCATTAAAAAGGTTTTCTAATTTGTCTTTGTATGCTGCCTTGCACTCCTTGATTGTGCTTTTGAGTCTCCTCTGAATATTTTTCATTTCCTCTTTACTGCCACCTGATTTAAAGACTCGTTTTTTTCTGGTTGAGGAGCTTTTTTAATTCCAGAGTTACCCACGGTTTATTATTGGGGAAGATGTTGACTTTCTTTTTGGGAATAACGAGATCCTCACAGAAATGGATGTACTCAGAGACAGTATCCGCTGCCTCTTCCAGGTCCTGGGCGCTGTCTGTCAGGGCCGCCCAGTCAGTGGACACAAAACAGTCCTGGAGGGCTTCAGTAGCTTGAGGAGTCCAGTTTTTAATCTCCACCTTTTCAGCCTTCTCTCGCTGCTGTCGTGGTTTGTAGACTGGGATGAGCTGAACCATGTTATGATCCGAATCCCCGAGATTGGGTAGTGCCTTGGAAGAATGCACACCTGGGATGTTACCATAACAGAGGTCCAGACAGGCTTCATTTCGGGTAGGACATGTAACATATTGCTGATATGATTATACATTGTCCTCTGTAGCTCAATTGGTAGAGCATGTAACACCAGGGTAGTGGGTTCGATCCCCGGGACAACTCATACGTAAAAATGTATGCACACATGACTGTAAGTCTTTTTGGATAAAAGCGTCTGCTAAATGGCATATTATATGATTATTATATTACATTTTCAGATAGACTGCACATGTTAAAGTCTCCCATGATCAGCTTAACCACTTCGGGTGACTGTCTCAGCCTGGGATACAAGGACATGGATCAAGTCGGCAGGTGCCGGAGGGGGCTATGTAAACAATAAATAGTCTGACCTGATTCAATTCCCATGGCAGGTAGTATGGCCGTAGTTTAATGTCTTTAGTACAGATTTATTTATTTTATTTATTTATTTATTTCACCTTTATCTGGTGCTCAGTTGTAATATGGTCAGGATTGCAGTATTTCTCATTGATGAATGCACAAACTCCTCCACCTTTCCTCTTGCCGGAGTTGATGTTTCGGTCCATTCTAACGATTGTGTAGCCATCCAACTCCACAACCGAGTCGGGATCCTGTTCCGTAAACAAGGTCTCAGATAGACGGATCAGGCAGGATTGTCGGTACTCTGAGAGGTATTGGATACAAGCCTGTAGCTCCTCAGTCTTATTCCTTATGCTTTATACATTGCCATGCGTAATAGATGGAAGAGGTGTTCTGAAAGGTTGTTTTTTAATCCGATTGCAAATTCTTCCTCTACTGCCACGCAGTATGTTGATTGTATTGATTGTGGTGTTCCTTGTAGTGTAAACTTGCAGCAAAGGGTTGGAGATTAAGCAGGACATCTCTTGTGTATGATATCCGTGGTTTCAGCTCGCTGTATCCATTGAGGGCAGTGGTGTAAAGTACTTAGGTAAAAATACTTTAAAGTACTACTTAAGTAGTTATTTAGGGTATCTGTACCTTACTTTACTATTTATATTTTTGACAAATTTTACTTTTACTTCACTACAATCCTAAAGAAAATATTGTACATTTTACTCCATACATTTTCCCTGACAACCAAAAGTAGTCATTACATTTTGAATGCTTAGCAGGACAGGAAAATAGTAGAAATCACACACTTATCAGGAGATATGTTCATCCCTACTGCCTCTGGTCTGGTGGACTCACAAATGCATCTTTTGTAAATAATGTCTGAGTGTTGGAGTGTGGCCCTGGCTATCCGAACATTTTTAAAAACAAGACAATTGTGCCGTCTGCTTTGCTAAATAATTGGATTTTTTAATGATTTATGCTTTTACTTTTACTTTTGATACTTAAGTATTTTTTATCAATTACATTTACTTTTGATACATACGTTTATTTAAAGCCAAATACTTTTAGACTTTTACTCAAGTAGTATTTTACTAGCTGACTTTCACTTTTACTTGAGTAACTTTCTATTAAGGTATCTATACTTTTATTCAAGTATGACAATTGGGTACTTTTTCCACCACTTGAGGGTTAGGTCGACAGCTTGTTTGGTACGTTTCACCAAAAAACGGATTAAAACTAACAGCCAAAGTACTGCTATTTGCCTCATTATTAGCTATCCGATGTAATACCACTAAAAACTTGATTGAGGTGGATCGCAACTTTAAAACACTTTAAACAAAACAAAAAAACACGGAAGGGACGCGTACGACAGTGTATTCTAGTTCCCGCCAATATCCAGTAACTTTGCACAGCCATTGAAGAGGAGTGGGACAACATTTCACAGGCCACCATCAACAGCCTGATCAACTCTATGCAAAGGAGATGTGTCGCTCTACAGGAGGCAAATGGTGGTCACACCAGATACTGACTTATTTATTCAAGGTATTTGTGACCAACAGATGCGTATCTGTATTCACAGTCATGTGAAATCCATAGATTAGGGCCTAATTAATTTATTTCAATTGACTGATTTCCTTATATGAACTGTAACGCAGTAAAATCTTAGAAATTGTTTCATGTTGTGTTTATATTTTTGTTCAGTGTAGCTATCACAGACAAACAAATAGCCCCGTTCAGCCACTTCTAGCCACACATTGTCCAAACATTGTTGTAAGTAAAATATGTATGGGGCAGCCTGGGTGTGGTAGAGATGGGGTGGGGGACTAAGGCGGTCACTGTCCTCCCCTAACTGTCTCTTAAGATAAGAGACAAAACCACAAGTGCCACACACATTGAGAAGTGTGGTCTCTCTCTCTCCGCTCTACAATGACTGATTCAAACCTTACGTAAGTTAATCAAGTAGCCTATTTTACGTTTGATGTACTTTTGAAATGTCACCGTGACATTAATCCTGCCATATGATTTTTGATGTGTTGTTTGGTGTTACTACTATTGACAGTAAAATAATAAGGTTATTACAGTAAGCTATACTGATAGAGATGGTGCAAGCTAAAGCATGATGGTGCAATGCAACTGACTTCAATGTGTCAATGTTTAAATTGTGTTCCTGCATGTAAATGAATCATTAGCATCCTATTGTTTGATTTTTTATTTTAGTGACAAGAACCTGGGGGAAGAAAATGGTGGCGGTCTGAAAAAAAAGAATAAGCAGAAGAAGAGCAAGGAGGATGCATGGAGACTTGATGGACCCAAAGACCCGTTTGCTATGGTGCACGTGTGTGTGTGTGCGTGTTTGTGTGTGTGTATGTTTGTGTTTGTGCGCATATGTATTAACTGTATAAGTTGTGATCCTTAAATATGAGACAGAGAGTACGCTGAAAAACAGCAAGTTGAGGTCTCCCACAAATGCTCTCATAAAATCGGATCTAGAATCAGATCACCCTACCACAATTCTAACCATAACCATTTGGACAAAAATAGCATCTGACCCTGTATCAGTGCCTAGAGTGATCAACATTGTGTGTTCCTCTCCAGCTGGATGCTCTCCCGGAGGAAAAGCAGCAGGAAATCCAGAGGGCCCTGCACCTCTTCTCCCTGGGCAAGGGCCTCCCGAGGACCCTGGAGGAGGCCAGCAGACGCCCCTACCCCTTCTGGGACACCCAGCCTGTCCCCAAACTAGGTATGGTACATGTATGGTACCTAAACTTGCCACATGGTACATGGTTGATTCAAGACAGAGTAAAAGCTAAGAGATTAAAATAACAAGCCAATGTAAACCAGCAATGCTATCCCGAACCCTTTAGTTATCCCTTTATCCATTTCCTCTCCTCTTCTTCTCTGAGATAGCTAGGAGCTCGTCTCGTCCTCTCACTCTTAGCTCTCTCTCACTCTCTCTGCGTCTCTCTCTCTCTCTCTCTCTCTCTCTCTCTCTCTCTCTCTCTCTCTCTCTCTCTCTCTCTCTCTCTCTCTCTCTCTCTCTCTCTCTCTCTCTCTCTCTCTCTCTCTCTCTCTCTCTCTCGCTCTCTCTCTCTCACCCCAGGTGACGACAATGCCACGACCCATGGTCCTATTGAGGTGGATAAGGCCAGTGTTCGTGAGGAGCCTTACAGTCTACCACAGGGGTTTAGCTGGGCCCCCCTGGATCTGGGGGACCCTGCTATGGTGAGTGACACTTCTCCCCTTCCTCCCTTACTGAGGCCTTAGTTGTTGTTGGATGCTGTCACTCTTTTGTTTGTGAGCATGTTCGCATGTTATGGCTTTCTCTCTCTCCAATTCATATTTCAATTAAAACTCTATTGGCACGACTGTAAAGATACAACAATATTCCCAAAGCTAATAGGTATAGTAAGTCAACGTCAAAGTAAAGCTAATAGAATGTTAATATTAAACATTCAATTGGATTCAATTGGATTCAATCGATTAATCAAACAAAAACACTCTCCCACTCTGCCTACGCTTCTCTCCATTCCATCTCCAGCTGAGGGAGCTGTGTGCTCTACTGAATGAGAACTACATGGAGGAGGATGACAACACCTCCAGGTTTGACTTCTCCCCTGAATATCTGCTGTGGTGAGTGAAGTTTACAGCATCTGAATGTATCTTTGTTTTGGTCTGTAGATAAACAAACAAACTATCTAACTATCCACTGGAACTCAATTAGGTGGGTAGTTAATTGTGTTGAAAACACTCTCTCTCTCTCTCTCTCTCTCTCTCTCTCTCTCTCTCTCTCTCTCTCTCTCTCTCTCTCTCTCAATTCAATTCAATTTCAATTCAATTTAAGGGCTTTATTGGCATGGGAAACGTGTGTTAACATTGCCAAAGCAAGGGAAGTAGATAGTAAACAAAAGTGAAATAAACAATAAATATTAACAGTAAACATTACACTCAGAAGTTTCAAAAGAATAAAGACATTTCAAATGTCATATTATGTATATATACAGTGTTGTAACAATGTGCAAATAGTTAAAGTACAAATGGGAAAATAAATAAACATAAAAATGGGTTGTATTTACAATGGTGTTTGTTCTTCACTGGTTGCCCTTTTCTTGTGGCAACAGGTCACAAATCTTGCAGCTGTGATGGCACACTGTGGTTTTTCACCCAGTAGATAAGGGAGTTTATCAAAATTGGGTTTGTTTTCGAATTCTTTGTGGATCGCTGTAATCTGAGGGAAATATGTGTCTCTAATATGGTCATACATTTGGCAGGAGGTTAGGAAGTGCAGCTCAGTTTCCACCTCATTTTGTGGGCAGTGTGCACATAGCCTGTCTTCTCTTGAGAGCCAGGTCTGCCTACGGCGGCCTTTCTCAATAGCAAGGCTATGCTCACTGAGTCTGTACATAGTCAAAGCTTTCCTTAAGTTTGGGTCACTCACAGTGGTCAGGTATTCTGCCACTGTGTACTCTCTGTTTAGGGCAAATAGCATTCTAGTTTGCTCTGTTTTTTTGTTTGTTCTTTCCAATGTGTCAAGTAATTCTCTTTTTGTTTTCTCATGATTTGGTTGGGTCTAATTGTGTTGTTGTTGTTGTTGTTGTTGTCCTGGGGCTGTTTGGGGTCTGTTTGTGTTTGTGAACATAGGCCCAGGACAAGCTTACTTAGGGGACTCTTCTCCAAGTTCATCTCTCTGTAGGTGATGGCTTTGTTATGGAAGGTTTGGGAATCGCTTCCTTTTAAGTGGTTATAGAATTTAACGGCTCTTTTCTGGATTTTGATAATTAGCGGGTATTGGCCTAATTCTGCTCTGCATGCATTATTCTCTCTCTCTCTCTCTCTCTCTCTCTCTCTCTCTCTCTCTCTCTCTCTCTCTCTCTCTCTCTCTCTCTCTCTCTCTCTCCTCTCTCTCTCTCTCTCTCTCTCTCTCTCTCTCTCTCTCTCTCTCTCTCTCTCTCTCTCTCTCTCTCTCTCATCCCCCATCTCCTCCAGGGCCCTGTGCCCCCCTGGTTGGCTGCCCCAGTGGCATTGTGGGGTGAGGGTGAACACCAATCAGAAGCTAGTGGGCTTCATCGCTGCTGTGCCCATTAACATCCGCATATATGACACGTGAGTCAAAAGTAGCCAACCATATGGATGGCCATCTGTTTTTGAAGGATACAAAATATCTGTGTGGCTGGGCCCAACTCAGTAATTAGATGCAAGTATTGAGTGAAACAATGTAGTAGCATTGTTGAATACAGAAACAGTCTGGCACCCAGGCTATAACATATTAATTATTGCATACAGTATAATAATACAGTAGTAAACAAAGCATTATCTCGTAAGCTTCTTGCTAGAAGCCCAAGTAAACATAGCCTGGGTATAGCCTGGGTGTCATGACAAAATGTGTTCCTCACAATGAATGGTTTCCTAGGGAGAAGAGGATGGTGCAGGTCCACTTCTTGTGCGTCCACAAGAAGCTGCGCTCCAAACGAATGACCCCAGTGCTCATCAGAGAGGTCACCAGACGGGTCAACCTGCAGAGAGTCTACCAGGCCGTCTACACTGCCAGCGGGGTACTGCCCAAACCTGTGGCTACCTGCAGGTGGGTGCTACACACACATATGTAGACTCAGACACAGACACACACACAATATATATTTATATATATAGACAGACTTCACTCTAGACAGACTTGCTGAATAAGTTGATATAAAACAAGTTAGTCAAACAAATATCAATTTGTTTCTCTTCTCCTGTTTACACCCATTTCCATCCTGTGTGTACATGTTGGCAGGTACTGGCATCGCTCTCTGAACCCACGCAAGCTGATCGAGGTGAATTTCCCCATATCCAGCCTGAGGGGCAACATGACCGTCCAACGAGCGCTCAAGCTCAACCGCCTGCTTGAGGTTAGTGTGTGGTTGGTGCCCCCCTGAGGCCAACACAATGCAACTACTACCAGACCCACTTAAATACACTGCAATACACAGCAATCACAATCTCATCCTGTGTGTACCACGGCTTGATAATGAAAACTGGAATTGACCCCCATTTCTGCTCTTTCTCTCTCTTTCCCTTTCTGTCAGGCTCCCAAAACAGCAGGTTTGCGGCCCATGACGAGGGGTGATGTGAAAGGGGTACACATGCTCCTTCAGGGGTACCTCAAGAAGTACCACCTGACCCCAGTCCTGTCTCAGGAGGAAGTGGAGCACTGGTTGTTACCACGGGAGAATGTGATTGACACCTACGTGGTGGAGGTTTGTGTCCTTCCAATACCTTAGTCAGTTAGGCAAATTATCATTGTTCTCCGGGCTTTGGCAGTCCCTTAAAGCTGAAAACCACAATAGGCTAAACAGCGCCACTGGCCGCCCCAGGCACATTTGTTATTGTTTTTGTTTTGAGGAAATGAGCATCCAGCATTGTGGTAAAACAAATATATACAGTACAAGTCAAAAGTTTGGACACACCTACTCATTCAAGGGTTTTTCTTTATTTTGACTATTTTCTACATTGTGGAATAATAGTGAAGACATCAAAACTATTAAATAACACATATAGAATCATGTAGTAACCAAAAAAGTGTTAAACAAATCAAAATATATTTTATATTTGAGATTCTTCAAAGTAGCCACCCTTTGCCTTGACGACAGCTTTGCACACTCTTGGCATTCTCTCAACCAGCTTCATGAGGAATGCTTTTCCAAAAGTCTTGAAGGAGTTCCCACATATGCTGAGCACTTGTTGGCTGCTTTTCCTTCACTCTGTGGTCTAACTCATCCCAAACCATCTCAATTGGGTTGAGGTTGGGTGATTGTGGAGGCCAGGTCATCTGATGCAGCACTCCATCACTCTCCTTCTTGGTAAAATAGCCCTTACACAGCCTGGAGGTATGTTTTGGGTCATTGTCCTGTTAAAAAACAAATGATAGTCCCACTAAGCGCAAACTAGATTGGATGGTGTATCGCTGCAGAATGCTGTGGTAGCCATGCTGGTTAAGTGTGCCTTGAATTATAAATACCAAGACCAGGACAGATTTCCACCGGTCTAATGTCCATTGCTCGTGTTTCTTGGCCAAAGCAGGTGTCTTCATCTTATTGGTGTCCTTTAGTAGTGGTATCTTTGCAGCAATTCGACCATGAAGGCCTGATTCACGCAGTCTCCTCTGAACAGTTGATGTTGAGATGTGTCTGTTACTTGAACTCCGTGAAGCATTTATTTGGGCTGCAATCTGAGGTGCAGTTAACTCTAATGAACTTATCCTCTACAGCAGAGGTACCTCTGGGTCTTCCTTTCCTGTGGCGGTCCTCATGAGAGCCAGTTTCATCATAGTGCTTGATGGTTTATGAGACTGCACTTGAAGAAACATTCTTGAAATTTTCCGGATTGACTGACCTTCATGTCTTAAAGTAATGATGGACTGTCATTTCTCTTTGCTTATTTGAGCTGTTCTTACCATGATATGGACTTGGTCTTTTACCAAATAGGGCTATCTTCTGTATACCACCCCTACCTTGTCACAACACAACTGATTGGCTGAAACGCATTAAGAAGGAAATGAATTCCACAAATTAACTTTTAACAAGGCACACCTGTTAATTGAAATGCATTCCAGGTGACTACCTCATGATGCTGGTTGAGAGAATGCCAAGAGTGTGCAAAGCTGTCATCAAGGCAAATGGTGGCTACTTTGAAGAATCTCAAATATAAAATATATTTTGATTTGTTTAACTCTTTTTTGGTTACTACATGATTCCATATGTGTTATTTCATAGTTTTGATGTCTTCACTATTATTCTACAATGTAGAAAATAGTAAAAATAAAGAAAAACCCTTGAATGAGTAGGTGTGTCCAAAATGTTGACTGATATTGTATGTTGTTCTAATGCGCATTGAAATGATGTAGTAGGGGGAAAAAACGATGTTTGTTGTTTGAAGTAACACTTTTGTTGCTGTAATATCGCAAACTGATGTGGCAGTTTCACCTCTATGGATTCCAGCTTTAAAGAGTGACTGAAAACACAGATTCTGCATGTTTCTCTGTTGCTCATTAAGAAAAACGAGATATCAGTCTTGGGGGTGTGGTTCGATGTGGCAGTTACTGATGTTTGTCCCCCGTGAGACTCCATAGGAACAAAGCCAGTATTACTTCCTCAAAATAGTCAGAATGAATCTAAGATAATTAATTTTGACGTTTTTGACGAGGAGGATTTAGTGGCACAATTTTGCATCTGGTGTTTGGAGCAGTATTTCTCAAGTAAAGAAATGCATGACCTGTTGTCTTATGTAAAGAAAGTCAGATCCGCTGCACTGATGGGCAGGTCAGTGTCATTGTCTGTGAGTTCTGTGGTAGGATTGGATATAGGCAATCACCACAGTTATGTATCCTGTGTTAGTGGGCAAGTGAGCATTGTCAAAAGCAAAACACCCCCACACCATCACACTTCATCCTCCATCAAGTAACTCAGTTTGTAAGACAAAAATGTCAGACTGTTTTGGTGACATCACCAGGTGGTAAATTAGTTAATAGACCAATAAGAAAAATAGTTCCAAACCTATCTGCCAATAACAGCTAGTTTTCAGTTTTCCCCTCCACTCAGACCACTCCCTAGCAGTCCAAGTAAAATTCTTGCATGAGAAATTGCTCTTTGCTAAGAAGCTATTTTTGTTTCTTTTTGACCATTTTAATTTAAAACAATCACAGTAAGGTACTTGTTATGCAAAAATTGTTGATATTGAGATCAAAACGGCTGCATTGGACCTTTAAGCAATAAGGCACAAGAGGCTGTGCTATATCATGAATATAGTCACAGGTAAATGGCGTTGTTTGACCTCGGCCTTCTCACACCGCTGAGCTGTGGGGTTATTCCTTGACAACGCACAGTAATGCTTACAAAAAAACTCTGTACAGAACATCGAAGCAGGATGATGACCAATCTGTCAATTCTTATTGGGTTTCTTTTTCTTATTAAGTGCAGGTAGTCCTTCCATGTTTCAGTCCATTTTATTCTCTAATGAACACCACCCTGTTTCCCTGCCACAGAGCTCTGGTGGTGTGCTGACAGACTTTGTGAGTTTCTACACCATGGCGTCCAGGGTGCTGAACCATCCGGTACACAAGGGAATGAAGGCAGCCCATTCCCTCTACTTTGTCTCCTCCTCCACTCCACTGCCTGACCTCATGGAGGATACTCTGTTCCTGGCCAAAGCTGTGAGTGTGTGTATCTGGGGGGCCAACGTTTATGTGTGTGGGTAAACCTGTGAGTGTGTGTGGGCGCCAAAGGTGTAGCTATGATTGTGTGACGGCCAAAGCTGAGTGTGTAGGGGCCACAAATCAAATAAACTGCGCGTGTGGAGGGGCCAAAGCTCTGTGAGTATGTGCGTGTATGTCTGTGTGTGTGTGTGTGTGTGTGTGTGAGAATGAATGAATTAATTAATGACTGACATTTTATTTTCGTGTCAAATCGCCAATTGGCAAACCATCCCTTATGGGATTAATTGACACATAAACAAACATTACAATAATTAACTGTGGTAATTCAATGATAATTCTTCTTCCGGTGTTCTCTGCATTGCGCATCGCATAAAGAGTGAAAAAATTTACGGTAAAAATCAATACGTAATAGTAAATAAGGTTATCACAAAGAGAAGATTCATATGGGAGACAAGCCTATACACAATCTATATACAGTGGGGGAAAAAAAAGTATTTAGTCAGCCACCAATTGTGCAAGTTCTCCCACTTAAAAAGATGAGAGAGGCCTGTAATTTTCATCATAGGTACACGTCAACTATGACAGACAAAATGAGGAAAAAAAAATCCAGAAAATCACATTGTAGGATTTTTAATGAATTTATTTGCAAATTATGGTGGAAAATAAGTATTTAGTCAATAACAAAAGTTTCTCAATACTTTGTTATATACCCTTTGTTGGCAATGACACAGGTCAAACGTTTTCTGTAAGTCTTCACAAGGTTTTCACACACTGTTGCTGGTATTTTGGCCCATTCCTACAGATCTCCTCTAGAGCAGTGATGTTTTGGGGCTGTCGCTGGGCAACACGGACATTCAACTCCCTCCAAAGATTTTCTATGGGGTTGAGATCTGGAGACTGGCTAGGCCACTCCAGGACCTTGAAATGCTTCTTACGAAGCCACTCCTTCGTTGCCCGGGCGGTGTGTTTGGGATCATTGTCATGCTGAAAGACCCAGCCACGTTTCATCTTCAATGCCCTTGCTGATGGAAGGAGGTTTTCACTCAAAATCTCACGATACATGGCCCCATTCATTCTTTCCTTTACACGGATCAGTCGTCCTGGTCCCTTTGCAGAAAAACAGCCCCAAAGCATGATGTTTCCACCCCCATGTTTCACAGTAGGTATGGTGTTCATTGGATGCAACTCAGCATTCTTTGTCCTCCAAACACGACGAGTTGAGTTTTTACCAAGAAGTTCTATTTTGGTTTCATCTGACCATATGACATTCTCCCAATCCTCTTCTGGATCATCCAAATGCACTCTAGCAAACTTCAGACGGGCCTGGACATGTACTGACTTAAGCAGGGGGACACGTCTGGCACTGCAGGATTTGAGTCCCTGGCGGCGTAGTGTGTTACTGATGGTAGGCTTTGTTACTTTGGTCCCAGCTCTCTGCAGGTCATTCACTAGGACCCCCCGTGTGGTTCTGGGATTTTTGCTCACCGTTCTTGTGATCATTTTGACCCCACGGGGTGAGATCTTGCGTGGAGCCCCAGATCGAGGGAGATTATCAGTGGTCTTGTATGTCTTCCATTTCCTAATAATTGCTCCCACAGTTGATTTCTTCAAACCAAGCTGCTTACCTAGATTCAGTCTTCCCAGCCTGGTGCAGGTCTACAATTTTGTTTCTGGTGTCCTTTGACAGCTCTTTGGTCTTGGCCATAGTGGAGTTTGGATTGTGACTGTTTGAGGTTGTGGACAGGTGTCTTTTATACTGATAACAAGTTCAAACAGGTGCCATTAATACAGGTAACGAGTGGAGGACAGAGGAGCCTCTTAAAGAAGAAGTTACAGGTCTGTGAGAGCCAGAAATCTTGCTTGTTTGTAGGTGACCAAATATTTATTTTCCACCATAATTTGCAAATAAATTCATTAAAAATCCTACAATGTGATTTTCTGGATTTTTTTTCTCTATTTGTCTGTCATAGTTGACGTGTACCTATGATGAAAATTACAGGCCTCTCTCATCCTTTTAAGTGGGAGAACTTGCACAATTGGTGGCTGACTAAATACTTTTTTTCCCCACTGTACACACGTACCATTTACCACATAGAAGTTAAATATTTTTGCAATTTAATTATAGGTAGCCCTTTTTCTTTTATTCCAGGTTTATTCTAAATATTCCGCAAACGGAAATACACAATGGACAAAAAAACATTTCAGTTTCTTCACATCGCTCAGCCACATAATGCCAGGGTATATCTGGTGTGCTTTCTGGAATAAAATAGAAAGGGCAATAGAGGGTTTCATTCTCTATTTCTTCGAGGTCACAATAGTTACATAGTCTTTCCTCTTCCATTTCACCACAATACTGACCTGTTTCAATATATCTCTCACACACGAATTCACCCTTAATCAAACAGAAGGTTCTCAATTTGGGTTTATGATTAATCTCGTCCACCCATTTTTTTCATATTGCATCAACAGTTTTGTTTTAATCATATCTATGTCTCCCTTAGTTTGGTTTTCGTACAGATGTTCACAGTCAGACTGTTGAAAAAGGTCAGACATTTCAGTTGCCCAGGCTCCCCCTATGGATAGATCCCATTAAAAAACGTTACTAGCTATTTTGGAAGGTTGGAATATCCAACAGTCTATTCCAAAGTCTCACCTCACAGGGTTCCCAGCCCATGTCCCTAGTTTTTGCAAGTATAGGTGCAAACTTGTGGACACCTAAAGAGTAACGTACTGCTCAGTTATGGACATGTTTGTTTTTAAGATACCTCTTAACACCCCACACTCCTGCTGAATAGTCCAGAACAGGAAACACACATGTCTCATACATTTTTCATACTGGCCCCTCGTGGGAAACGAACCCACAACCCTGGCGTTGCAAGCTTCATAAACAAAAGGCACAGGGCGAACCCATAGTGCAAAATATAAAGTACTCAGGAAATCGTAGGAGAGATTGCTCTCAGGAAAACAACATATAGAATGACGACAAAGACAATGGCAGAGGGAGTATATATACGGTGATAGAGTGGGGATTGGAACCAGGTGTGTGAATGGCGTTTGCCAGCAGTAGGTTCGGCAGCAGCTAGAAGGCCGGCGACGTCAAATGCCTGAGCTGGACAGGAGGGATAGCCAAAGTGAAGGCTGGTGTGACAAATATCAAATATATTTTGATTTGTTTAACACTTTTTTGGTTACTACATGATTACATATTTGTTATTTCATAGTTTTGATGTCTTCACTATTATTCCACAATGTACATTTTTTAAAAAGAAAAACCCTTGAATGAGTAGGTGTGTCCAAACTTTTGACTGGTACTGTATGTCTTTATACAATTCTTCCTCAAAATATGCCACATGTTCGTTACCTGAGAACAAAACTAGCAAATCCACTCCTTAAGTACCCCCCACTGCTCTTCCCTGACTTCCATTGGAATTTTCTAATGTCGTTTGTCCTAACTTGTTTATTTGGCTCAAAACTGTTGAGGATTTCTTGTCTGTTTCTGTTGAGGATTTCTGCCCTCTCTGTTATCTCTGTTTGAATAGGCACAGTCTTTTATCAAACACATGCTGTTTTTTCTTAAATTCCTTCCTAAAATGTTCTCTTGTATTCCTATCTTTACACTGTAAAAATAAGTACTCAGCCTTGCGCATTACTGACCATAGGTCCCTTAACTCATCATTCAAATAAGGCTTGTTCGGCTTGTAAACTTTCCTGGGCTTGGGGGTTTATTCTTTAGTCGCATCATTTTTTCCCATTTCAGAATATATAATATCACAAAAATGTTCATACCACACATGTAAATCAAATGTTGTTTCTTGGCATCTTTGCAGAGTTTCGATGAGTTCCAACAGAGCTGTACATGCCATTTCAGAACGTAGAAAGTAATTTGGGACATTTATTTTCTTAAATTTAGGCCTATACGGGGTATGTATCTTTTGCCCCGAATGATGTAATACCTGGTAATACCAGTAATACCTGGTTGAGAAAGTTTGTGTCCAACAGAAAATGTCATAAATAAAAGCGAATGATTAAGTCAAAACCTCTGCATTCTTCAACCATCTGTGTAGGGGTTAACACCTTCAATTCCAAAGTTTCTAGACAGTCGTGGAGGGTAACTATATAGTCCATCACAGCTTTTCCTTTGCCAGATATGGATATAAAGTTATCGCTTAAGGGGCATATCCTTCCATTAATGATGAACATTTTAGAGTCCCGAAGGAATTCTAATAGGGTTTCCCCATGATGATTAACAAAGTCATCCAAAGCAACACGCGATGGAATATCATCAATATCATTTATATAGTAATCTAACCTCCCAATTCGACTGTTAAGATCCCCACATATGTAAATAGCATCTGCTTCTGTATATAGGTATACCTGACTTAACAAATGACTATAGAAGGAGGATGCATCTCTACCGCATCGGGACTGTTCAGGTGGCAAATAGCATGAAAACACAACAAAACAATCATCTGACTCCCTATGTTCAAAGCGCAAAACAGTAATTTATTCTATGGCTTTATCGATAATTTCAATTTGATAGCCTTTCATCATATCAGACTTTACACATATTCCCACTCCCCCAGAGCCCCTGGGGGCTTTCACATGGGTTTTTCTGTTGTGTCCGTACAATACATACCCTTCAATATCAATAGTTTCTTGCCAACGCAAATGCATTTAATTTATTGAAATAATGTCTGGGTTTAAGAATTTGGGTATTGTTATTCATAACTTATTGTTCAAGGTAGTCCATCCGTTAACATTCCAATGCGCTATTGAAATCGTATCTTGTAGGGGATGGGAAGCCCCCCAGTATGTAGTAGGTCTGTCCACCCCATGTCCTTGTCCGCGTTGTCCCTCTGGTTGATCTCGTTTCATGACCCGTCCGCTTCCCGTGTGTGTGTGTGTGTGTGTGTGTGTGTGTGTGTGTGTGTGTGTGTGTGTGTGTGTGTGTGTGTGTGTGTGTGTGTGTGTGTTTGAGAGTTTGATGGGGACCAAAGCTACGAGTGAATGGGTTTATTCATATCAATCCCCTTGGATAAATGCTCTTTCTCTTTCTGTCACCTCTCTCTTTGTGATACAGAAAGGCTTTGACGTCTTCACTGTTCTGGACGTGATGGAGAACACTTCTTTCCTGGAGAAGCTCAAGTTTGGCATCGGGGACAAAAGCCTACACTACTACCTGTACAACTGGAGATGTCCCACTATAGGCCTGAAAATGGTAACTATCCCTGTAGCATCTGTTATGAACCTACCCCTTAAAATCCTAACTTCTAGAGGTAAATTGGAAAGGCTTACATTTTAGTCATTTAGCAGACACTCTTATCCAGAGCAACTAGGGTTAAGTGCCTTGCTCAAGGGCACATCGACAGATTTTTCACCTAGTCGGCTCAGGGATTAGAACCAGCGATCTTTCGGTTACTGGCACAACGCTCTTAACCTCTAAACTACCTTACCCTAACTCACTTGCTACACATACGTTGTGTATGAATGGATTGCAATTATGTTGATGACAACGATGATTGTACGTACCTGTAACCCCAATTGGAAAGCAAATCGTGTTTACAAAAAATATTTGTACAAGTATTGTAATGAAAGGTGTCATCCATAGAGTTTGGACTGAGCAATAATTATTTATTGTTTTGGCAGGTTGGCTTGGTGTTGCTGTGATGTCCATGACCACTGATAGGTGAAGACGGTGGACCAATCCATGCTTTCCCAAACCCTGGACCAATCAACCAGCAAAAACATCTGAGTCGTCTATTTAAATTTGAACTTTGACCTGCACTACTATTTGTTCTGAGGCCTTAACTGATGGCTAGGGCACAGAGAAGAGGGCCATGATACTAACCAACCCAGATGAATACAGCAGGCACTGACAAACAATGTTATCTCTAACACACACAATAAACACAAAAGATGGAAGTGACACAAAAATGAATAAAGTTTCCTTGAGAGAAATGTATTGAAGTCTTACAAGTATGTGGCAAAATGACTGCATTTTGACTGTGGTTGTGATTCTAGACCAAGTTCAGTATCTGGAGGGGGGGGGGGGGGGGGGGGGGGGGGGGAGAGAGAGCATGTAAAAACATAGGAAACAGAAATGTCTAACAATTCAAACATGTATTTGCAACAATCCCAAAGTCCTTCCCAATAGGCAAAGCTGGTTGTGATTATGTCATTTCAACCAGCTTTGCAGGCTGGGTTCTCTTTTGCTCTTAGAACATAAAGTAACCATAACCTTTCAATAATGGAATGCAACCAAAGAGAATTGATCTTCAATAGGGATCATTCCATGGCTAGGCAGGATATCAATGAGAAACAATTCTCTCTTGAACCTCTAAGGTATCCATTTGCTGCTATGGAAAGTAGCCTTTAGTGGGAAAGGTAAGAGTGCTACTAACCTTGTGCTGCTTTGGCAGTATGGGCTGTTCAGGGTACTTCAACAGTCTGTTCATATAACCTCTTGTGACCTAGAAAAGATCACGGAGATGAGGGTTTCAATGTTCTTTGGGACTCAGCTGTGGTGGCAAATTGGCAACTACATACATTCACACAAACGCTATCAGTATTGTGAGAGATCTTTTGTACTACAGTCTCTCTATCTCATTCTCTCTCTCTCCCTCTGTGTCTCTCACACACGCACACATACACACACACACACACACACACACACACACACACACACACACACACACACACACACACACACACACACACACACACAGTGAGTGCAGTAGCTCTTACTTACTTTGAAGTCGTCCAGCCATGTCCTGTGGTCGTAGACTGACTTAGTCATGTTGATCTTCTTTAGAATGGCCTGGTTCTCCAGAGAAATCTTCACCAGCTCCCTGTTCCTCAGGTCTGCATTAACACTGGACATGCAATGGGGAAACTTGTGAGATGAGATTACACTGTCTCTGTAACCATAGAATACAATGTGTAAGAGAGTTTATAACCCTGTATTAAAAGTTTATAAAGTATGGACACACTGGAAACACAATGGGGAGCTTACATGAGAATACACTGTCTCAAATAGGTGTTACCTTAACATGTAATATCTAATACAGTTTATAACCCTTTATTAACAGTTTATTGACTATCTATTAACTATATATCAAATCAAATCAAATTTTATTTGCCGCATGCGCCGAATACAACAGGTGTAGACATTACAATGAAATGCTGTTTCACAGAACACAGTTTGAGAAAGGGGCATTCTCATGCCAACCACATATGAAAACCAAACTCTCTGCTAAGGATCTAATCAATCACGATCAAGAAGGCAATCAAATAATCATGCCATGACGTCAATGAATGTTGTTGCATTCGCATATCTCAAGCTATGTTGAATTTAATAAAGACTAGTGGCACCCTGGTGTTGGTATACATAGATATGACTCAGAAAGATATGATTCCCATTCATATTGGGGACATAGGTAGCCTAATGTGATGTGTTCCCACCTGGGTTTGGCCTGGTACTCGTTCCAGTTGTCCAGGCCTCCTTTGGTGCCCATGGTGCGGGCGATCCTGGACACCAGCAGGCGGTTGTCCCTCTCCAGCTCCATCAGACGCTCCTGCTCCATCTGACAGGAGGAGAGGGACATTCAGTGTTTCCCCTACCATTATTATACTCACCCCTATTTGGCTATCCAAATAGGGGTGAGTTACCAAAAAACAAAGATCATCTTTAGCATTTAGATCATTGTTCGTCAACTATGATCTTAGTGCTAAAGATGATCTTTATGTTTTTGGGAAACCGACCCTAGAACAGAATTTAATGTAATACATAGAATAGAATAGAATAGAACATAATAGAATGGTTCTAAAGTTACCAGTGCCACCCTACCTGAATCTTTTTCATATTTAGATGACAATGCAGATATGTCCTGGGGGCTTTGTTGTCAACCATTTGTTTAGCTGTAGGACATTGAAATATGTTAGTAACAATATTGAATGAAAATAAATGAACTTTACAGATTTTGAATAATAAGGGGATATCGGTTTTCTTGAAATAACAATGCTTTTATATGACACTACTACATGTGTCATATTGGCTGCCTAAACCACAATGCACTCAACTTCTTATGTTTAAAACCCATTTGTGAGAAAGATCCTATCATGAATCAAATTAGCCTTACTTTTCTGCATTCTGTCCATGTGGTATTTGTAGTGTTGGCCATCCCACATTTTTCTCATATTATTGTATTGTCCAGTGGTCCCAACAATGGCTGGGAAAGCCAAATAATCTGCTCTGTTCATTGCTTTACTTAGATAGCACCAGTCCACTCGAAAATAAACTGTGCCAGTCGTCAGCTTAAACAGCAGCAAAATGTATTATTCAAATGTATGAGAATCTTCATTTGGAACCCATTGACCAAATATTCCATTGTTGCGCTATTATGACGCACTCCATTGTGACCACAGGCACGCGCAAATGCTTCATATTTGCGCGCTGAAATGCCGACTGGTTTGCGTACAAATGGTTTTCCTTATGCTAAACAAATATTTGGAGTTGTTCTCCAAATGTTCATCAGCCTACATACCTTTACGCACAACCAAAATAAATACTCGCATACATCGAAATAGGGTGTCGTTTTCAGGCGGGAAATGTGATAAAATTACATCGTGGAAAAGCTTTATAAGGTAAATCCATTTGAATTCAATCACTTTTTCATAAATGTTTGCTCAAGGCTCATGGAAGAAGTGGTCAGAAAGTGACTTTTTGGACCTGGATGCCAAAACATTCAGGAGATAGAGGTGCTCAAAGTTCACCCAATTTGCATACCACACCATACCATGAGACATCCATGTCTTCATCAGTGGAAAAGATAAAAGGTTGAGTTTGATATAATTTAAAAGCTTACAAACAAGGTTGTCAAACTATTTATAATTTCTAGAAAAAAATGTGTGAATAAAAACCATGTTTTTTTTCCCTTTAACGTTACTTATCTAAAAACCGTAAACTCCGATTTTTTTCATATTCGCATATTTAGACCCTACTTTACATAATCTGAGGTTTTTGTGTTGTGTCTGTCATCGGCTGAGACACAACATGCTCTTGAATACAGGGTGGGTGTCATTTCAGTCATAGAAATAGGATTAACAGAATGGATATATCCCTTCAGACCACTGCAATTTAGCTGGTACACCATTAAAATTAAAATTGAATAGAATGTTTTACTTCTAATTACTACCTCTAAGATGGCCGCCTGTCCACCCACCATCCAATGTCAATTTAAATGGTAATGTCTATTCTATTATCTATAGGCTATTTCTATGATTTCAATAGGTTTCATATGGAGGATGACAGTATAATTTAAAACAACAGATATTCCCATTCAAGTCAACATTCTTTGATGTGTGAACTTCCAACCATCTTTGTGGTACCATTTGAAAGTCAACATTTCAATTGTATTCCCATTTTAGTACATTTATCAGCCAAAACATGACACCCACCCAGTATCTGTTTTGTATTATCATAAAAATAACAGCAGGAGGTGCTGTTTTAATGCAATGGTATGCATACATACTAGTGGTGTGTTTTTTGGCTTCTATAAAACTCAATCTATTGCATACTGTTGGTCTGTCTGTCTCTCTCTCTCTCTGTGTGTGTGTGTGTGTTTGAGAGAGGAGAGAGAAAGAAGGAGAGAGAGAGAGAGAGAGTATAAATCTTGAAAAAAGACAGGACTGGTGCACCATGTGATATTAAATCACATAAGCACACAAAGTACTCTGACGCAATATTCTCACTTGATTGGCCTCTTTCAACTGATTCAATTTGAAGTTGCGTCATAGAGAATTTCGATGGCATCGGCAGATGGTACCGGTTCAGGAAAAAGATGGCGGAAGTGGATGCTAAGTTCGATTCAAGCAGCGCGTCGAGATAAGTTGGTTAAGACTAATGTTCTGAATGGACAACAGTAGTAGCGAAAACTGGAACAAAAAGGAAATTGTCTAAAATTGGAGTGGAGGATATGAATGATAATGAATTGCTTATTATTGGGATGTGTTTGTTGACTAAGGATGCATATGTGGGAAACCCGTTTGTGGTGTTGAAAATGGTGAAGTATGCGCTGGGAAAAGTGATGTCTCTCAGAGTGACCAGGAGTGGTCTTATTTTGATTAATTGTATTTCTGAAGAACAGAGGAAGATTGCAGTGAGCCTCAAAATAATCCAAACAACAGAGGTTTTGTGTTTTGAATTTGGGAGTAGAGCACCCGTCAAAGGAGTCATCTCAGGGGTAACGACGGATGTTCAGGTTGAATACCTGAAGAAAATTCCTGGTGTGGTTGGTGCCCGGCGTCTGACCTGCTGGGTGAATGGAGAAAAATAAGAACGTCTGTTGGTCCTGTTGTTTTTTTGATGAAGAGCAAATACCTACGCATGTAAAGCTTGGTTATGTAAGATATGCTGTAAGAGCATTCATCCCCAAACCATTGCAGTGTAAGAATTGTAAAGGATATGGGCAAAGTTCAAGTGTGTGCAGACGGACAGAGTATATTGAAGAACGGTGTGTAGAAGGACACCTGTGCAATTGTGGTGGGAATCATGATCCTGAGTTCCTAGAGTGCTCTGTAAGGGTGAAGGAGATTGAGGTGGCAAAAGTTAGAGTGGTCAATCAAATCTCCTATGTGGAGGCGATTAAAATAATTGAGAAAACAAGTGATGCTACTGAAGATATGGTAGTGGATGCACCACAGCCTGTAGTACATGTTTGCTGCCAGTCAAAAGATACCCTGTTTGTTAAAAAGGTGGATTTTGTGGCGTTCATTGCCACAGTTATAAACTGTACGGCACAAGTCTCAAAGAAGTCTAAGAAACTGGACATTATTGTGGCTGCGGCAGAAAAGGTTTTGGGACTTAAGGATTTTACATCTAAAGACTTGCAAGGGGTACTGGCGCCGGATGACCCGCCCTCCCAGGTTCCCCTTGAGCCTGTGCAGAGATCAGATCTGCTTGATTTTTTAACAGAAAAGATGTCAGTTGAGTTTAGTTATTTATTGCTTTGGTAGTAGTTTTTTTTGGTATTTTGTTCCATTTTTGGGAATCCTGTTTCCATCCCGCACAGTAGGTGGCAGGATGCACATTAAATTGTGCGATCGCCAATATACCATAGAAGAAGAAGAAGACCATTTCGAGTCTGCGGGCACAGCAGGAGTGGGCGGGATTTCAAGTTTTGCAGAATCGGAAAGTAGACTACACACAGCACTTCAAAATCGTAGGGCAGTGGGTAGGCTATTAGCACCCGCTGTGGTTTTGTATTCCGAGTTTCTTATCACCACTTGCAAGTTACTGTGGGAAAGCCACCAGCTACAGTATCCTAACTGTAGGTTTTAGTTAACAACAGTTGAAGACTGTTGCCTCCCGGTATTCGACAAAACTGCATTTGCATTGCATTTTAATTCGCTCTAGCTACAGTTTCAGTGGATTTGAAGTTGAAATCCAGAAACTTTGCTTTGCAGGCTTGCAAGCTTCCTTTTGTGAATTAAAATCGAAAGAAAACCCACCTTGCCGTCTCGTAACTGGAGCAGAAGGGGAATGTCGTTTGTTGACTGTAGCCTATCCTTCCCTTGGCTGTTCTCCAATTGAAAAACAGGTATGTAGGCTATATATTATGTAGCAATGGATCTGTTTTGAAGTTACGCGCGCGTGTCATGAATGGAGATAAACACATTTACCGCCGTACATTTTCCTTCACTGTAAACCATTTTTCGTATAACTATGTTGCCATTTGCCAATCAAAAACAAAACATGTCAGCAAATTACATGACTACAAACACTGCACTGTCATTTAGTGTTTCTTAATGTTGCCAGTTATGTTCTAGTAACTGTTCTGTGATATTGAAAGATGTCATTCAATTGCCTGAAAGATACAATGGACTGCATAGATTCTTTTTGGAGAAGTAGGCCTACTGCTGTAGTCTACTTAGCTGATATGTATGTATGGGTGGGTGTGTATGTATTTTGAGGAGTGTTGTTATTTTCAAAGATCAACTGCTCACTCAGACTTAAGTTAAGGGCGAAATTGTGGTGTAGATAGTGGGAGGTATGAGCAGTAGACGGGGATCCAGGAGTCCTCCCTCAGAATGTTTTTGACATTTTTAAACGAATTTCCTGCAATTCTACACAGTTTGACATGACTTATGTCTTTTCTTGAGGGGTATATGGAGGGATATTTTGAAAACACAGTGTAAGTGGAAGGATAAGTCGTCACCATCACTAATGAAGGTATTTCAAGGCAAATATTAAGAAGACAAAGAAGATGAAAGCTGAGTTGTATTATAATGATGCACACATGCATATTTATTTATATTTACAACAAGAACACACAAAAGATGAAGACTGAGTTCTATTAGAGTTAGAGTTCGCCTACCTTATGCCCAGTCCATAAACAGTACCAGTCAAAAGTTTGGACACACATTTTTCTTTATTTTTACAATTTATTACATTGTAGAATAATAGTGAAGACATCATAACTATGAAATAAGACATGGAATCATGTAGTAACCAAAAAAGTGTTAAACAAATCTAAATGTATTTTATATTTGAGATTCTTGAAATAGCCATCCTTTGCCTTGATGACAGCTTTGCACACTCTTGGCA